TTGGTTGCTTGTTGATGATAGTGGGAATTGAACAGAGGTTGGAATTTTCCAAGGGTGAGTGATGATGAAGGATGTGGAAATTGAGGAATGATGATCTTTATTGAGAAAGGTGGATGAAAAGGATTTGGGAGCAGATGCTTCAACCAGGGATTGAGCTCAGGTCCTTTGGGTTGGGGTATAAAATTTAAGAAAAACTAGTGTGTTGAGTGCATGGCAAAATATTCTAATTTGGCAAAGCCACTTTTCAGGGAGTTGTGTGCAGGTGGGCCTGAACCAAGGGTCTTTTGTAGTGGATGAGGGTTAAATATATATTGCAATGAGATGAAGTAGTACATAAAGTGTATAAAGGTTTATAAGGGTAAGATTTTCAGGATACTAAAGAAGTGGATGAATGTTGATCATTACCCATAAAGATGGATGATGGGACGATGGGAGACAAATGGCAGGCCAGAGGAACTCCTTCTATAGTGAAAAATATGAGAGATTTCACAAATAATAATGTCACAGATTGGGGGATTATTGCAATCCTAAGTTCAGATTGGGGGGGATTTTCCACCCTAAATGCAGATTAGGAGGAATTGAATGTTCTCTCATCCACAATTGAAAAAAATAGAATGAAATAGAACTAGCAAAATGAATAAAAATAGGAGGTGCATAAAAGATAATTAATAAGGATAAAATGAATAAAATGGGTGGAAAATTGTGTGCAATATGCATATGGCAAGTATGAGTCTGGGAGAAAGTAAGAAATCTATGAAGGGGTTGAAATCCATGTATCTCCCAATCCGTCAGACATATGGGGGTTGTTCCAGTGGGTGACTAGGGATTATTTTGTCCATGGAGTCCAATTTTGAGGTTATCTTTGTATTATCTGCGATTTTTATTGAGGAACATCTAAAACTTTGCTATTTCTCCCTTGAAAAAAAGGAAAATAGACCAAGATAAATTTGGGTTTAGCTCCCCTTGTGGAGTACTCTAAGTCAAGGAAAGCTTAAAAAAGGCTCTCTGTTGACAGGGGCCCGCAGGCAGAGACACATTTTATACACAAATTACCATGTGTTTGATGATTTCAACCTTTTGTGAATTCCTCTTGGAAACTTTCAAAGACACCGTTGGATGTGTTGCCTCCCTACAGAGAAGGAATTCCTGATCATATGTTGTCAACACCAGGGGACCACTTGTGGAACTGGCCTGGCATGTTCCATTGCATAGGTGTTTCCATAGGTTTAGTTGTAAGTGTATTTAATGTTGGTTGTATCTAGCTTGTATGTATGAGTTGAAGTGAATAGGAAGTGTTCAAGAAGTAAGTGGGGTGATTTTATGACATAGGTGTAAAATTTGAGTTGAATTCAAGGTGATACCTCCTTGAACATTATCATGTCAATTTCTGTCATATTGATAAATGGCAGAAACATTAGAACACAGAATAAATATATAATAAAGAGAATAATGATAGAACCATAAATATATCAGATTATAATATAGCATAATCATGTATTTGTAAAATCAAAATAATCTAGGGTTACCCCCCAATGCCTAAGGATAAATTCACTCTTTCCTGTATAATATGAAAGAGAGGATGATTCCTTACATTTTTTACTCAATATGAAAAGAACTGTCACAATTGATAGCAAAACAATGTAAAAGGTCCCTCTATATGAATTTGATAAGCTTGCAAAAATTTACTTAGGAAAAAAACACATCAGTATATATAAGAATGGAATTAATTGATTGAAAATATAATCAACTGTAGCATAATAGAACCCATTTCAATATTGAATCATTTTTATGCAAATTCAAAAAAAGAAGAGAGGATATTTAAATAAGAAAATATCTAGCCCAGAAAGAGAAGCAAAAAAAGGTAGGGGCTCTACAAAATGATACTCAGAATTTTCAAAAAATAGATCTGTTACAGATCCTAAATCTACAAGTGATCCACTAGGGATCTTCAAATATTTTACCAAGGCTATTATTTATTTCTCATAAGACTGAAAACAGGCTTTAGAGAAGCTACTGTGCTCTCTGGGACAGTTTTTGCTAGTTTATCATCTGTATATTCCCCCATTTAATTTCCTCCCCTTATAAATCTTATTGGCACTAAAACTCTGCACAGGCACATTTACATTTTTCAAATAACCCATGAATAGACTTATCCAACTAAAACATCCTTTTACATGTCTGAATGAATGTTTCCCACAAGTGGTCTAACAGTGAGTATTCCTTTTGTTCATCCTTCCCTCCTATCCATTTAGTGGAAAACCTAATAAAACCAGCTTACATTCTCCACAGTATCAGATAAACCAATAACAATTATTCCTCATATGAAAGAGAAAACTCCAAATAATCCCTGTTTTTAGGTCATTTTTACTCAAATTTTTGTGAATTTGACACATTTTTTATCATCAAAAAGAGGATCCAAAACATTCACAAAGTTTCTCCAGTTGCCCAAAACCTCAAAAGGAACTTTCTTCATATTTTTCAGAAATTTTAACCTTACGTTTTCACCCTTGTAATCATGTTTTCTTCCAAAAAATACACTCTCCTACAGTTTCCTGAGATTTATTCAGTCAGATTTTTACAAAATTCAAAGATGGATAGGGGAAAGATTCTGTGGGTTGAATTCACCAAATATTTTTGATATTATACATAGATTATAATGGTGCAAAATTTAAATTATGTATAACTTCTTCCTAATACACCCAGGATGTATTCTTCCCTTATAAAAACAGAGCTTTTCATATTTTTGGGGATCAAATAAATTGTTCTTATAGTCAACAAAATTTATAAAATTCATTTTGTTTTTTTCAAAAAAGAATTGAATGAGGAGCACGTAGGATTAGTCTAGTAGCACACAGAATTTTAGGAGATTACCTGGTTTTACACATAATTCAAAAATCTATTTTTTTGGTTTCTAGATGTTGAATAAGCAAGAAAACTCTTGCATCCCAGAAATATGACTGGACTCAAAGAATTCCTGAGGAAACTTTGATACCTATGTCTGGAAGAGTAATTAAAAAGGGGTTTCAACATACAACCCACCCACTTTGGATCCGCAACCCACAGGATGTTGCGGTGCTGGTCCAGGTGGGTCACGGAACCAATTTTCAGTATGCAAATGGGGGTTAATTCCTAAAATGCAGAATTATTTTTCATTAATTTTTTTGCGGGTCAAATTGCAACAGATTTGATGATAATAATTTCTATAGCTACACTTTTTAGGGTGAGGAACTCAATGGTAAAGTTTGTTTCTCCAAAGAAAAAATATTTTAATATTTTTGGTACTACACCTGGCTTTCTGAATGTAATTTTTTCGATTGAAAAGCAAGGAATTCTTGTCAATTTAATTTTTTTTTCCCACACTTTCACCAGTCTTAAACAAAAATGTGCAATTTATTTCAATTTTAATTTCATAAAATCCAGTGGAAAAGAACTGTGGAAAAATTCCAAAAAAGAAAATTATAACCCCCAAAACGGGAGATTTATTAAATATAACCTAAGATAGATAAAACCATTTTGTTTAAAATTGTTGAAAGTGTGGGGAAAAAAATTAAATTGATAAAAATTCAATGATTTTCAATCTGAAAAAAATACATTCAGAAAGCCAGGTGTAGTACCAAAAATATTAAAATCCGAATAAGATCAAGTAATACTTTCAAAAATCAACACATCAGGCACAGACTTGGTAGCCCAGTTGGTAAAGGCACAACTTTAAGTATAGTGTCTTAGCTTCTAGCTAAGTTCTCTAGTTCAAATCCTGCCCAGGTTGATCTTTCTTGCTAAATTTCTGAAAAATGCAATGTTAATTTTCACCCAAGAAACATAAATTTTTCCCTAGTGATAGGATTTGATTGGCTTGGTATTAGCAACAGTTGGCTGCTACACTACAGGGCCAAAAGTGGTGGAGTTGAAATCTGCTCTATGCAGACTGACACCCAAATATTATAAGACTTGGACCTGGTAACATGACAAGCAGTGCAAACGCACATCAAGACTTGATCCCAGAAGATTACAAGCATAACTTTGGTAGCCGTACACAAATTTCAACTTCAGCTGCAATAATAAGCATCTGTAGCCTAGTTGGTTAAAGGAAGCACTCTAGCATTTTTCTCAGTTATAGTGATGTCTTGAGCTTGAATCTCACCAGAAACAACTACATCTTGGATTCTAACAAAAAGTGCAAACATTTTTCCCGCAAACTCTGTAACCACCAGAGCTGTTTCCATGGCACTTGCATGCAATTGCTTTCACATAAATTTATTGAATAACCTGTTAGTAACTTCTGGGATGTCGGTCTGAAGTACCTCAAAAGTCAGGTTGAACTCAGGATGAAGTTACTTGTAACTTGCGTTGATGTCAAGCTCAACCATCAACCTAATGCATTTCCCAGGTCAATCTGTTATCATCCTTCCAATATGAATAGGTCAGATCTTGATTTCACCTGCTGAATAAATCTTATGTAACTTTTGCTCATCCAATTTTTCTTCAAATTATATTTGAATGCCAAAATAGTGTAAAGAATCATAAGGAAAATGAGGTGATTCATGCTCAAGGCTTATGCTTTGTCTTTAAATGATCATAACTCCTATCAGCTATCACAATTTTATGAACTTGATATTTTTTTTTATGTTATGATCACATTGAGAATGTGGATAAAAGCCTTGTTAGTGATTCTTCCATCAATATCTCAATCCAAGTCCATTAAAGCTTTGAAAAAAATCATACACAAGACACTATTCAGCATCAACAGGCTCCATTACTCCTGAAAACTCCCATCACGAAAGCTTAAAAAAACCATTGCATCTCTCTCAAACAATAAGAATTTGGTAGCCAACAAAAAGATTTCTCATTTTTTATTCACCTGATTCAGCTCTGTAGCTTGGCTGCCAAATAACCTGATGGTGAAATTCATGATATTGCTGCAGTGGGAAAGCTGATAAAAATAAAAACTTGGTTTGGGTGAGTCAGTGGCAGGTGGATCTCTCAAACACCCACCAAAAAACACAGAAACTAGACCTTCAAAGCCCAACCAAATATCATCTGCAAGCCAATCCTCTTTTTTTTCCTCCTCGTAAGATGAGCCACTCCCTTTGCCACTCCCCAATCCTGTATACAAATATTCCAAGGCTAATGTCTTGAGTTTTTGCCTTTGTGTTTTCTTAAATGACAGAGGAGGAACCCCTCTGCCCACTGCTGGAATCTTGTAACCATAGCTTGTGGTCGTACATCATGGTGACAAGGCACACTTACAGCCCTCAGCAAAATGGTCAGTACATAATCATAACATGCTCTACATAATCAAACTTATTAATTCAATTGGATATTCCTCAGAGCACTTTGATTGCATCATAGCCAAGGGATTGTTTTATCTTGGTGGAGGGTTTGGTATGCTTTCAGCGTGACATCAAGCTAAGTTTCAATCAAGTTAAAAAAGATTTGTAGTTGAATTGCAGAGTATATCAACTGAAATTAGGACCAAGTTCACCAAAAATCATGCTAAACTTCTGCACAACTCACAACCAACACACAACGGTTATCAGCTCAGTATATGAAAAATTTAAGAGAAAGGACGTGCATGCGAGTGCCATGGAAGAATCCCTGGTGAGCATTGGTGGCACTATAGCGCTTGTGAACATTTGAATGTGTGCAGATTACCATTCTGTAACCAGTGCATAACACAACAATAACCCCACTTCTACACCCAAGAAATCACCCTCAAACATTTTGTAACCTCTGCCTCAGAAGCCCCAAGACAAAGGCCATTGCTTGTAGTTTTGTGAACAACAGGTTTATAACTTATTTACACTATTGTAAAAAGGGAGTTAATAATGAGTAATTCCTAGGTAAGAGCAATGTTTCTATCAAGGCAACATACAATAATTGCCTCCCCTTTTGGGGTGGTGTTTTTGACCCTTCAACGTTAGTGTTAGCCCAAGACTGCTAACCGCTATGACAGAAGATGTGAGCTGTTATCAGTTTTATGCCACATAAACAGTAGCCTTAGCATAGCAGGCCCATATTTTGCATTAGAAGTACTTCATTTTCTTGTCCTAAAAGAATTATATCAGCAACTAAACTAAGAAAACAGAACAGATAATTACAATAACAGAGTTGAGCTAGATTTTATGTGTTCCTTAGTGGGATTGCCCATTTTTTTGTTTTTAATTTAGGTACTTTGATTGGTTGTTGTGAGCTACCTTGATTACAGGAATGATATTCCTCTAGCTACAAGAGCCAAAAAAAATTTGTAAAAAAATAAAAGAAATATTTTATGTTGAGTTTTAGAATGTTTTTATAATTTTTAAGGGGTTTTTGGAGATTTTTTATCTTAAAGAAAAGGTGACAGAATAGACGAAAGTAGCAAAAAAAAACACTCACTTGGGTAGGCTTATAAGGCTGGACACTAGTTGGAGTAACTGGTTTCAAGTACTAAATAAGCTTTAAGATGGAATGAGCTAAGGAAAAATCCAAGAGGGGGAAAGAGGCTGTCTTTTAAGGCTGTTCAGGAGCCTTGGGGACAAACTAATGGAGCTGTTAAAGTGTTTGGGGCGCTACTGGCATTCAATTGAATGTATGTAGTCTTGTACTCTTAGACTGAATAGTGGCTTTATTTCACCATGTGGCTTGTCAAATGCTGTGGCTTGTCCAATCATGTTTGTGGTTACATGTAGTGGCTTTTTACTATTCTTATTGAGTCTCATAAAATGTGCTTCCAAGGGTCCCTATTATTATTTGAACTTAGTGTAGTTTATATATTAATGATGTAATGAGGCACATTTGGTATACATAGAAACATGTGACAATTTTTTTAGAATGTTGTTTGGAGTAACCCTTGGTTATTTTATACGTAGAATTCATTGGGGCAATAATATTTAATGATTCATTGCACCAAACACAGGTTTTTGTTAATTATTGTTATTTTATTTTAGAATTGATTATTTCTGATTTCTTGTTACTACTTTGACTGCTTGTCTCTAAATAGTAGCAAGCTGACAGTTGTGCACTTCAATGGAAGATAAAGAATTGGTAACAATAATTCCCAAATTTTTTTAATTGTACATCCTTCACATTTTCATTGGGAAAACTTTGGAACCTAGTGTATGAATAGCCTTTTTTTAAACATGATTTCTGCAGTGGTAATGGCTTCAAGTGAGGAAAGGAGAAAGCAAAAAATCTATTTTTGTTAAGTAATTTTATTTACTTATTCTTTCAATTTCAGGATTATTCAAAGAACTCATTAAACTGTCCATGAGTCTCCTTCCTATTCCTACTCTGTGAAGAGCTTTTGGAATAAGATGCCTTGAATTGAATGTATTTCTAGCTGGCTTTTTGATCTTCTGTTGCAGCATATGATGACAATAAGACTTATAGGACCCTTCCCAAAATGTGTAAATAATACATAGAATGAGGTTGGTAATAGGTATTATGCATGAGCCAACTCAAACCAGTGGACTACTCGGATGTTTCTGCAAACACTTTCCAAAAGGCTTGTGGATGTGTTGCCAAGATAGTTGATTGAAGCAGCCTCACCTAGTCAGAGTGCTGTGATAGTCCAACTTGAAGCATGTCTCAAACTTTTTGTTTGTGTTTCTCAAAAAGCTCGGCCTGAGTGAGTTTTTTTTTTTTTTTTTATTCTTTTCAAGTATGCATTTTCAACTTTACTGGAGCGCTGCTCCGGGGCCCAGGTCAGTCAGGCACCTGTGCAGCTGGGTGGCTGAAAGTAAAAAATTAAAGTAGGCCAGAAACAAAGCTCGCAAGACGGCCAGCTTTTTGGACGTATTGGCTGTGCAGTGGTTTGTAAATTATGTAATCGAGACTGGTGGCTGACTGCCCCGGAAATGGGCTACATAAGTTTTATAAAGCGCAAGTTAACTGCGAGTGCGACTCAAATAAAAAATCACTCAGCCAGAACTCACCACTTGATGATCTGCAGCGAACCACAAAAATAAAATAAAATAATAAAAAATGAAAAACCACTCCTTAACTACCTCTGCCACTAATACCGACCTTCCCAATTCCCCATCATCCTCACTCATCAATCACAACCTTTCCATCATTCCCCCTTCCTTCAACTCATTCAATCATGGTCCCTCCATCGCATCTCTCATCAGGGAGAAACGGAAACAACTCTCTCTGGCACAAAACAACAACTCATCAACAACCACAATCACCTCCCCACTCACCTCCCCAATCGAATCCAAAACCATCCCTTCATCATCTCAACCAACCTCTCTAGAAAGGAAACCCAGAAGTAGGGGCAACACCCGAATCCCCGCACTTACTGACCAACTACTCATGACCACAAGATTCGACACCCTCAAACCTCTCAAGCATTCACTATCACAACCACAACCCTCAGAATCTACCTCCCTCACAAGACTCCCTCCAACCAGCTTCAGCAATCTGTTATCAAACCCATGCCATCACCCTCTCTCCGGTCCATTAGACCCCAGTTTGGCCGAAGTCGTCATGACCCCCACAACTCAAGTCAGTCAAATCTCTACTCTACCTGTTCATCATCTCACACTCAAACTGACCCACCAATAATAGGAATGGTGGGCTTTCGGTGGTATCCCTCACAAACCTAAAAAATATTCTACTAAATCTAGTCTCGGAGGCACAACTAGTGTCGCCTCTGTTACCACCACCACAACAACCAAGAATAACCAACATGAAGAGGAAGAGGATCAGGATGATGAGCAGGAGGAAGAAGAAGAGGAAGAGGAAGATGACCGTTCTGATCACACCGGTGACAGTAGTAGTAATGAC